GTATGTCGTGCATGTATAGCATATTTGACAAATAAAGCTGACTTTGACTTTTGACTTTGACTTCCAAGCATGCACTGCCGATGAGTTAAAGCTGCAGTGGGTTATTTTTATTAAAGTAACTTGTCACACTTGCTGAAATTGACATGAATGCTAACTCCCCAATCTAGAGCCAATATTTGGTTTGTCCCTTCGGGCCTACAGTAGGTACATGGTGGACTCCATGGCAACCTGTCTGTAGATAAAAATATTTCATGCCAAAGGAACAAGAACACGATTCCTATATTCAGGTGATTATACACAATGAAAAAATACCTATGAATATGTATATTCCATTTCTGCCAATAGAGTCCTCCTAAATGTTACACACTGGAGCTTTAAGCCCATTTTACTTCCATGCTGGCAAAAAAGAAAGTATGAAGGAAAATCATTGGTCCCATGTTGGTTTTGTTTCATAGTTGTTACGGCATGAACAATACACATTTCTTAACAATATTTAAAACATTTTAGTACATCCAGATGTCCAGTCAAGTTTGTTGTCAAATTATTCTAGTTTATTCAAGAGAGCAAGTCAACTTTTTTTTATAGTTTATTTATGCTCAACAAGCTTAAAATGTTTCACAGTGAGCGTGAACCAACATTAATTTACAAAAAAGGTTTTGCTTGTACCGTACAAAATAAACAATACAGAGCTGCCCTGGAACATGAGTCAACACTCTGTCAGTAATATCCAACAGGCTGAAAACAACTGCTGAACAGGGACGGATCTAGAGGGGAGGCTAAAAAATGCCTGGCCATCCCAGTTTGGTGTCAAATTTAACACATTTATTTAGATTCATTTAAAAACTAACATGTTAAAAAACAAAAATGAAGACATATAATTTAGTGGTCTGTCATTTTACAGATATGGTGATAGGCTTAAGTTCAGTGGAAAAATGTCTGACTAATGTGCAACAGTAATGTTTTTCTGAATTAGATATCTTCATTTGTGGGCTTTTCCAAGCAAATACTGATATATGGGACTGTTTGTGATTACATTAGCATATATTTCTGACACCCTCTAGACACCCCACGAATATCCCTCTATCCACCCCCGCAACTGAAACACTATGTGTTTTGAACCTAGAGAGAAGTGACCTCGGTCCTGTCAGATGCCATTTGATTGGAGGTTCTGTGTTCCGTGTTGTGTGGATTATCTGTCTGCTTTGGGACAACAAGATACTTCACCGCCCAGTGCAGCCAGGATTCAGCAACCTTGAACTGACTGAAATCCTGCAGATTTTGTCCGGACACTTGGTAAGAGTAACAGAACGGCCTGCCATCGCTGTGAATGTTGGGGGTTTGTCTCAAGACGGTCCCTGCAGTTTGACCCTGGTGGTGACTGCTGCCTTCATTTGCCCTGAAGCCCGCCTGAGTGTCAAAGAGCCAAGATGGAGGACTCCCACTGAGCTGAGCTTCCTCCTCTTCCTCGTCCTCTAAGGTGGTTTGTGCTTCTGGTGTGGGTTCACTTCTCTTTCTCTTTGCCTTTCTACATGTTCCTCCAACAGCCTCCATGTCCTTCTCCAAAGTTTTACTTTCTTGGTCCAAGGCGGGAAGATTTTGTTGTACTGTGTCAGCGCGGTGTTCATCTGTGGCGGGATACAGCTTTGACGGTTCCAGTGGACTCGCAGAAGTTGAAGCTGAAGAGCCAGCAGAGGCGGAGAGGCTAGCTGAGTTTGGCGGTTTCTGGTACGGCGGGAGGTAGCTGTGTTCTTCTTTGCTGTGCTCTGAAGTCTGCCGGGATTCCTTCGGGCTGTGGACAGGACGTTGCGTGCTGGTTAAGACTGCAGCGTGATCCAGCTTGGACTCAGCAGCAGTGGGATTGTGCAATGAGCGGGTCGGTGTTGCTACTGGGGATGCTTCGGAGGACGAGCAGGTGTCACCTGGTGGAGGAAAAATGTCCCACGGGTTGGATAAAGGTCTGATGTCACTGTCGATCACCACGGCGATCAAATCATCATCCAGCAGGCTGTCCTCCGCAGGAAGAGGTGAGCTCTGGCTGATGTCCTGATCCGTCTTTACACCCACTGGCTTGGGTATCCGCCACTCTGCATCATCAACAGAAGGCTGTGCGGTCTCTGAAGGTTTGCAGACTTGTGGTAAATCCTTCTGTCTGTCCTCAGAGGTGACAGAAAGCCCATGTGGCGTTCTGCTTCCAACATTCTTTGAAGTCTGCACCTGCTGAGCATCTTCCTCTGGGATGAGGAGACACTTTATGGGGACAGTGAAACCTTTCTCCCTCTTATATCTGACTCTTTCAACATCCCAGCTCGTGGCAGGGAATGTGTCAGGGTGGGTCACCAATGATGTGATAGTCGAGGTGGAGGGCTGCGGGCTCACAGGCTGGCCGCTCACTACCATCAGCCTTTCCCTAACATCATCCAGAACGTTCTGCAGACAGTCATGCTGCCACTCCCCCAGCAGCTCCGACAGATCAAACCCACACTGGCTCTTCTGAGAATCCGGCATCTCCTGACCTAGCAGGTCCCTCCACGTCTTACAGATCTTCAGCCTGACGGAGGGCAGCGTTGTGCAGCAAGGGGTGCTTTCTTTAACTGGCCCGGCTGCAGTGGTAGCCAGCTCTCCAACCGATAAGAAGAATCTGCATTTAGTCTGTTCCGGGGCCATGTGGAACTGTAGCCGGTAGTCCTGAATGCACACTGTGGTGTTGAGCAGACTGGTGAAACACTCGCGGTCCTCCTGCTCCTGAAGATGCTCCCAGGCGGATACAGTGAGGATGGCGGGGATCTGGAGGACCCCGTCGGAGAGGAAGAGCAGCCCCGTGGGGCTCTCAGAACCCTGAGCCTGGGACTGCGACATCTGACCCACCCCAATGACATGAGCCTTCAGCCGCCCACTGCTGCTGCTGTTCCCCTCCTCACCGCCATAGCTCAGGATCAGACTTTCTATCCAAGGAGACAGTCTGTTCCGATCAGGCCGAGGCATGTTTGTAGCTGTAACTGTGTGTCTCAGTGACGTTCCCTCTGACAAATATTTACATGATCAGTAGTTTCTCCATCACAGCATCACCATGGGAGCTACAAACGAAACATACACAAGTCGTCAGATCACTGTACTGTTCACATTACAACTTTCAGTCTTATAAGCGGGAGTCTTAAAGTCCTGCTTTGCACACTACTGATTGATCAGCAACACACACTACAAGATCTTACACTGCCAGGCCGATTGCTCTCCAAGCTACATCTCATCAGGACAGGAGTCATTAATAACTAGCACATCAAGTTTAATTCGAAAAGTAGTATAAACATACACACTTTAAAGAGTACCTTGTGTTTGCGTGGTGGTGACAAAACGTTACTCTCGAAACAAGAGCTAGAGGCCGTTATTTGTTTACTGTCTTCTTGTCAATTCGGCATCTATATAATCCATACAGATAAACTGTATTCTGTATAAACTTTAGATTTTGTCCCCTCAGCGCGTTCAGCCTTTGTTGTAGCTGCGCTCTTTCAGTGGGAAAAAAGTGTTGGAACGGGAGCCGGATCGTTTTTAAAGTGCTGGTTGGTGGATCAGACACACCGAATTGAACACCGACTCACAACACTGTTAACGTTAAATCACCGTCCATTGTCCATATGTGTGTCGGTATCTGAGGAGTTGGTATCTGGTTAATCATTGAAGCGCGAAAAACTTGTGCTACGACTAGCACATTATCTCCAGTACGGACAGTTTTTAAACAATGTTGTAGTTACAATTCTATCTTAGCTATCACAGCACAATAACATCATAGCCTACACAAGTAGTCAGTATTATTACCTTAATACGATGTTAACGTTTCTCCAAAGTTATGGCGGCGACTGTTTCAAGTTACCGAGAGATAAAAGTGGATAGACAACTTTTCCTTCAAAATAAAAGCGCAAATAATAGTCTTATGTACTCTTGAACAGACCCGGAATTTACTGTACGGCCACTTATGGCCGTATAATAAATACAATGAAAATAAGATTTACTAATTCATTCATTTTTGTTACAGAAAAGTATACCAGCACTATACTAACGTTAGTTGGTCAAAAAGCTTGTACTCACACCGGAAATGCGGTTTGGGAGTATTCTTGCTGGCTTTATGCCGGCAGTTAGGTTTCGTGGCCGCGTTCAGTTTCTTTTTGATTCTCACTTTGTATATCAATTTCGAAACCCAGACAATGAACACGCGGCTACGTTTTATTTGTCTAAGTTAGCAAAGACAGGTTACACAAATTCTGTTATATAACTGTAGTAATATGTGTCGTACAAGTAACTTATCCACAATCCTATTGGCACAAAGGTTTCTTTTAAAGTATTGGGACGTTGTTTATTTACACGCCTTCCGCCTAGCTGATGCTGCATTCAGGTGTTAGACGAATTCACTGGAAACGGCTGTGACAATAAAAGGCGAGTTTTTACTTATCTTATTTAAAGTTATTCAACTAATCAGTTGTCTTTTTTTTTACAGCTTTAATCACGGAATGGTCTCGTATTCTCTTTAGTTAGTCATTTAGCCCATACAATTATATATTAACATGCATACAACTGTGTATTAATATTGGAGTTTTGTATTTACTATATTTCTTTTGACTTTAAGGCAGCATAATACATGTCTTGACGTCCACTTGCAACATTCTCGCATGGAGTGATTCATGTTGTCCTAAATGTAGTTAGGTACAGCCCTATGACCATAAAAGAAGAAAACCGCATTTCACAGTCTGAAGGTAAGACACTTAAAACGAGTAAACTTGAATTGTTAACATAGAAAACATGACATAACAAGTTTAAACCATTGTAAACATACAGTGCTGGGGCTCAAGCCTACGTAAATGTGCAGCTCTAACCATTTACCACTAATTTGGCTAACCAGAGTAGGCTAACGTTAGCTAAGTTACCTCCTTCACTGCTGAATTGTAAATGCCATTGCTACCGACATTGTGTCGTCTTTGACACGTTGTTTACCGACGGATGTTTTGCTGCTAGCCTAGCCCTAACGCACCATTTTAACCAGCTGCTTCGCCAAACTAAATTTAGAAACCTGTCAGTTTCAGAGTCACAAGATGAATCGTTATTTTTCCACAATATTCAGCTTACAAGTGATTCACTGAACAGTATTTCAGTTACATTTTAACGTCTGAATGTTGTTTACAGCTCGCCACTGCCCACTGTGGTGTGTTGGTGTAGATCAATTGTTCCCAACATAGGGACCTATTTTCTATCATTGAGTAAACATCAGGTTATGGATATATTATATTCAAAACTGTATTCAACCTTAACAGTGAACTGCAAGAAGTTTGTCTGAAATGAGTGGTTTGGATGAATCTTGAGCAGATTATTTCCTGTTTAACTAACTAGTAACTTTTTATACAATTTTCTGTCTGTATTATGTATTGTAACAATCACACATACTTAAAGCTGCAGTAGGTAACTTCCATATGTTCTATGTTGTTGTATCTGCTGAAACTTTTCCTATATTCTTACAGAAGTACATCAGACAGATAATCTGTGAATGAAACACAACAATCAACTGTCTTCAGGCCACCAGCTCAAAGCCTCTTTCTATCTTTCTTGGCTCTGATTGGTTGTTTTCGTTCAAGCCCTGTGGATTTCTTTTAAATGCCATTAGGAGCACTAGGAGGAGCCAGAAGAAGCTGATTGTTTCTCAGATTATCTGTCTCATGTTCTACTGTCAGGATACAGTGAACGTTTCAGTAAATATGACAAAAAGTTATTTTTATAAAAATGACCTACTGCAGCTTTAATAGGTTATATTCTCCCTGACGCTTGGCCTTTGTTCTGTTAGATAATTTACTCTCTTTAACAGAAGTGAACAAAATACTGAGATATAGGCCTACTGTGTATATTTTTTAAGTTTTCTAGCACCTCTTAAAATTAAGAAGCCCTCATGACCCCTAGTGGGGGTCCCAACCCTCAGGTTGTGAACCACTGTTGTAGATGACGGATTAGATGAGCAGCCTATGAACCAATTGTTCATAGGCCAATTTTTATATCATTAGTGTTGTGTGTCCTGTTTAATGCGATCCGAACTGATGAATGTTCCCTGTTTATTTGTTTACAGTCAAGCATAGACATGCCCCATTCTGAGTGTGAAACCGGTTCGAAAGTTTCGGACCCACAACATTCCCAGAAACTCCTCAGGGTCCTGCGTGTCTTCTGGCAAGAGCACAGTTTCCACGATGCGCTGCTGGTGGTTGATGGAGAGGAGCTGCCTGTCCAGAAAAACATCCTGGCTGCTGCTAGCCCTTATATCAGGTCAGACAACCTAGCAGTGACTATTTGCCCTGGTCTCCAGCACAGAGCCTGTCACACCAGCCCAGATAAGATCATGCATTTGTTATCTTTAACGGGTGTTTACAGTGTTAAAGCAACATTGGCGTGTCCACTTTCACAAAGTACTTCAGGTTTCTAGTTTTGATTTTCATGTTTGTCGTATTGAGTTGTGTTAATGGTTTCCTGTTAGGACCAAGCTGAACTACAATCCTCCAAAGGAAGATGGGTCTACGTACAGAATCGAGCTGCAGGGCGTCTCCATGGCCATCATGAAAGAGATCTTGGAGTATATCTTCAGCGGTGAAGTGAGTGCAGAGGCTTTAGAAAGCTAAAGCAAAGTGACATGCTGAGGTTTTTAGGTGTGGTCTCCTGCCCATCCTTATACATTATTGTGGGTATCCATTTGGCCTGTATTGCTCTACCTACCTCTTTGTCTCACCACCTGCATGTGTGGGTCTTTCCTTCACACGCAGATCACTTTGAGTGAAGAGACCATCCAGGACATGGTGCAGGCGTCTGACATGCTCCTCATGACTGACCTCAAGTCCCTCTGCTGCCAGTTCTTAGAGAGCTGCATCACTGCAGAGAACTGCATCGGCATCCGGCTCTTCTCTCTGCACTACTGCCTTTACCACGTCCACTACGCCGCCACCGAGTTTCTGCAGACACATTTTGGCGATGTGGGGCTCTCCGAGGAGTTCAGGGAGCTGCCCCTGGACCGGCTCTGCGAGGTGTTGGCCATGGAGAAGCTGAATGTGGGCAACGAAAGGCACGTGCTGGAGGCTGTGGTGCGATGGTTCGCTCACGACCCAGAGGACCGCAGGGTGGGTGACGCTCACTGTAGGTTCAGTATGAAGATAAGAGAGGTCATGAAAAATGCAGACCAGCAACAAACTGAGCAACTGCTGATGAGAAAAATAATAATACATTTTACTGGCTGAAATAACATTTTCATTGTGCTTTTAATAAAAAGGCAATGCAATATATCACATTATAGCAGTAAAGTTCATTTGAAGGATAGATTAGGACATTGGTTTACCCTCTCTTACTTTGAGTTTTATGAACAAAAAGTCACATACAGTGCAGTGTTTTGCAGACATACTTTGGTGATGTAGAAATGTAATGTTTTGAAGGCATCCATTGGTCTCTATTCATTTCTGCACAGTATGAATATCATCAGGTCTACCATGTTTAAATGTATAATGTTTGCCCGAATAATTAAGAATTTGATGAAGACAGCGTTTCACAAAGTTTCTAAAGTTTCTCCTCACTCAACAACTCACAAAACTGTGAGATTTTTAAAGAGAGTCTGGGAACTTTCTCCATGGGTGACAAAGAAGTGGCCATTATTGGTTACTGTTTACTGTGTTTGTCAAATTTGACGTTTAATGTCATTAAAATGTGAGTCCTGTTCCCTGTATTTGCAGGTCCACATGAGGGAAGTGATGTCTGCAGTGTGGCTGCAAGGCCTGGATGTCAGTTACCTGAGAGAGCAGGTAGGGAAACTGTAGAGAGCTCTCCACATTTCAAATGTCTGCTTTATAGAATCAACAGAGTAACAACTTGGTATCCCATCAGGCCATGGGGGAGCCGCTGATGAGGGAGGTGATCAGAGAGTACTGTCAGCCGGTGCTGAGTGCTGGTGCTCTGCAGGGTGAGGCTCTGCTCGCTGCCTTCAAACCCAGAGGTTACTCAGAGTGTATAGTTGTCGCCGGAGGAGAGGACCGCAAGTAAGTCACTGTCCGCCATCTTTTTTAACCTTTTATATTATGTTTGAGCCCTGTTTATACTTGGCACAAGTGGACAGCTCAAAGTACACCAGTTAACACCTGGCATTACAGTGTGTCTTTGCATGCGTCTGGTGTGGCCACTTGTGATCAGATCTCACTTCCCAGCTCTACTTCACATGCAAATAAACACGTACATCATTTATTTTTGCAAAGACTAAAGGTATTTTTAAATGTTGGCCCAACAGTAGTAGCTTACACGCTGGGACAGACAGACACGTTTTTGACACACACACAAAAGAAACTAAATGTATAATGTTGCAAAAATGCCAAATTTTCAAGAAGGCTGAAATAATGAAGAATTTGTCCTGGACAGAGCATTACAAAGTTTATAAGGTTTCTCCTAACTCCACAACTCACAAAAAAGGGAGTCTGGAGACTTTCTTCACAGGTGACAAAGAAGTAGCTTATATTGGTTACTTTGTCAAATTTGACATGTTTTGACATGTTTACCGTTTATGGTCTCAGTCTTCTTTCATACAGCATGATGTTCATTTAGTAAAATGGATGATAAAATAAGTAATTCTCAGTGAGCTCAACGTACCAAACTCAGATCAAACTGTCAAACTAGGCAGCTTAAAAAAAACAACATGGCGGCAGCCATAATACCAAACTCAAGGCTTCAGAACGGTACTCAACAAACCATTGGGTGACATTGTTCACAGTGCAGTGAACCAAATGGAAATCAGACAGTGTGTTTCATGTGTCAGTTGAGTAGGCTGTCCAACAATGTGGCCCAGTACACATTTGCGTACATCCTGCTAAAAGAATGTGGTCACATGCATCCCAGACCACCTCCGAATGTGGTCTGAGCAATCGGATCTCAATGTGTCCTCACATCAGTACTCAGAACTGTCCACTTGTGATCAGATCCCCCATGATGCAGGTTAATGCTGTAAACAAGGCCTTGGACTCTATATAATTATTTATCACCAGCATTACTATTCACAATCTTTAGTGTCCAGTCATTACCTACAAAAGGTTTACCACTTCACTCCACAAAAACACATAACAGTTTAAATTTACAGAATTTCTGAAAATCTGTACATTCAAAGCGGTTTCAACACAGAATCATAAGAACTTGCCTTTAAAAACCCACTTGAATCCTAGTTGTTATGTGGCTGTTTTCTGTCATTTAGAGAGAGCCAGAGATTTAGCCCTCAGTAACAGAGACAATAATGGTGTATATTTTACTATGAAATGTGGTCTTACCAGAGGAAGAGGTTAAATTAGTGCAGTGGTTCTTAACCTGGGGTCCTTGAAGGGTTTCCAGGGGTCCCCAGAAAAATGGGGAATACTTTAATTTCACTATTTTGTAACTAGAAGCTAGCTCAATGAGAGAATGTATAAGAATGACTTTTCTGCTCATAGTGTTCATACTCTGCTAATCTGCCAATCTACGGTATAGACCAACCACTGAAGTAGTGCTTAGCTGACCCAGATCACACTGTTGGCTCACATCCTGTCTGGTCTAATGGTTTTTGTCCTGTACAGAACCAGGAAGCCAACTGCTGTGACGCACTGCATGTGTCCGCTCTACGACACCAACAGACAGGCCTGGATCGAGCTGCAGCCAATGAGCGTAGCCCGCCTCGGCCACGGGGTGGTCGCTGCCGGTCAGTGCTGGGCTTAGGCCAGGACAGTACATCCATCACAACTGAAGTGATGTAGATAGAACATCTGTAGCCCATGTCAGGAATTACTTCAACAAACCTTTGTTTTATCAGGATTACAGCTGAAGAGAATTCCTGTAGTAGAGTCAGTATTAACAATGCATTTCCTGTCTGTTAGAGGGTTTCCTGTTTGTGATGGGCGGAACAGACGAACACAACACAGTCCTGGACAGTGGAGAGAAATACGACCCTGACTCCAACACCTGGAGCCCCATACCCCCAATGCTGCAGGTATACTCTCCCCTTTTTGTGACCATACTTTTCCTCAAGTTTCAGCAGTTAGAAGTATCCCTCCATCATAAGCATATATACAGCTGAGGGTGATCTTTGCAGTAGAATTTCTGTCTGAGAATTTATAATGTTTTTATCAGAATTTATTCTTTTATTTTTTGGAGGATAAATCATCAGTCCATCATACAAAGCACGTTTCTGCAGCCATGTTACATTATGTATATATATTCTTGTTATTTTACTTCATGACCACTAGGTGTCAGCAGTGCTGCAAAACAGGTTCAACCCTGGTTTGCAGTACAGGCATTGACACGGACTTCACCAAGTGGTGTCATTCATACAATACATGACTATATACTGTTGAACGCTCTAAACAATACCAATATATTATTCATAATATTAAGATTGTGTGTAAACCACTACCTTAAAGCAAATCAAAACACACTGAGACATAAAAGCCAAGCAAAAGAAATAAAAGTATATTTCTAGGTGGTTCTGTCCTGGGACATTTCTGTGGTTTGATCATCATGTCACTGATGTACGTAGGCTCGTCAGAACTTTGGTGTGGTCGAGCTGGACGGTCTGATCTACGTTCTCGGAGGAGAGAACGAAGCAACGGAGCTGATCACTGTTGAAGTGTTTGACCCTCACTTGAATACCTGGAAAATGCAGACCAGCATGACCATGATCCGCAAGGTAACAACACGCATGCAAATATCACATTCACAGAACAGCAGAACATGTACCATAATAGTGTCACAAAATAGGTCTTAAATCCCCACTTTATTTTTAAATGTAATGTTGTAATATCAGATCTACAGTCTACTAAATCTCAGTAACAATTAATAGACATTATGGTCTTGGTGAAAACTCGATTCTCATTGGCTGCTGGGTGTCGATTTATTCCTGTTAAGTAGTTCCAGTGAAACCGTCTGTTTACGGTTCTAAATAAATGCACTGAAATGAACAAAATCTGAATATCTGATGAATATATCTCACAATACTGAGTGTGGTCCTTCAGTGCTCCTCCTCTGAACACCACAGGTGATTTTCTGATAAACTGTCATTCATACTGAGCATTAACCGTTAGATTCGCAGTTTACTGCTCCACGAAACTAAGTACACCTGACTCCCTGAGCACAGACACACAATGTCTCTCTCCCACACACTGACCAAACACACCATGCTGAGCTTTTGGTGTTGTAGCATTGTGAGTGCGAGGAACTCTGCACTGCTTCTCTTAGTAAATCCACTGATACATTTCCACATCAGTTTCATCATTTAAACGTACAGTATGTCATTTGGAGGTCTGTCACATCAAGATGACGATAAAAGACAAAGTGTCATTGTGAAGTAGCGTGGGATCATGGGAGAATTGCCATCATTGCAGTCCAGCTTCTCCCTGTTAGGATTCCTTCCAGTGTTCATGGTTCGGAGGTTCTACTGGAAGCCCAGTTATCCCAGAGGTCCTCCTCCTCTCCCAAAAACAAACACACCCGCTGATTAAAGTTAGAGGCCCCATTAGCAGTGGTTTGAAGTTTTAGAATATTATTTAAAATTAAAATGATCTATAATAAAAAAAGGGCTGCAATTTAGGATTAGTTTTTGATTATTGATGAATCTTTGATTTCTTTTTACGTTAACGTGTTAAATAATTCAGTTCTGCCCCTGCCATCATTTCTTGGAAATATCAAAATAGAGGCAAAAAATACTTACAACTAAAAATTGTTGCATATGAATTATCTTTCATTATTTATTAATTTCTGCACTAAACAATAGTCCAGATGAAGGGGGACCTGGAAGACCTGAGGCACAAAACTTTACCAACGACTTTTCCTGCCTCATTAATTGGTTGTTGCCTTTTTTTTTTTATTCTCTCACACCAGACCTCTCTCTTTGTCTGGACAGTGTGACAGTAAGCTAGTAGACTAACAAAGTAGCTAAAATGACCACACAGAATGGGCCCAGGGCCATTACAGCCCTTGTGCGGACGTGTTCAGAAATTTAACAGAACTTAGACCAAGGGATTCATTTTGACACAGTGAACCGCTACCCACATGCTGCGACTTGTACAGCTGTGTCTGTCTTCTCTCTCAGGTCGGCTGCTACGCCTCCATGAATAAGAAGATCTATGCCATGGGTGGGGGCTCTTACGGAAAGCTGTTTGACTCTGTTGAATGCTTTGACCCCAAAACCCAACAGTGGACTGGCCTCTGCCCTCTGAAAGAGAGAAGGTAAAGACAACTTGTGTTTGTGTTCGCTGTTGTGGTCTGAACAGGAAAGAAAGAGGATCTATGATTGGATCAGCTGACATCCAAGCACTTTAAAGTCAGTATCTGTTTTCTTCCTCACATGGCATTGTCTTGTTATCTTCTCGTTTCTGTCCATTGAAAATCTTTTTGTCACATGTTGTACGCAGTTGCTATATAGGACAAACATTAAACTTCAGTTTGGTCTTGTTTGTATTGCACAACAAGAAAAGAAACATGGCTCCATGGTTACTGTCGCACTCCCACCTCTGTCAGTTTTGTTTTCATTTTGTCAACCCTTAAATTACATCAAAATGTTGCTCAAGTAGCTGTAAGTGAGGCTGTTGAGTCATATATAGTCATATGTTCACTTGTTAGTCATAGCAGAACATGTGATATTAAGATGTGAAGAAAGATTCAGTCTTTCGGTTTGTCTTGAATGGTTGTACTATTAATGTATTAGGGATGCTAAAGACACCATGGACAATGACATTTAAAGATGAAACCAACGTATACACTGAGCTCTGACAGGTGTGTAGGAGAGTGACCTTTTATGTAGACACCACTCAACTCAACTCAGCTTGAAACATCACTACATTGCAAGGTTATTATAGTTAATTAAAACTCACTTAAAACTGAGGCTAAGTGTGAAAAACAGTCAGTTATATACTTAAAGTGAGTTATATACTTAAAAAACTAACCAAAATCATATAAAAATTAACAGGAAATGTCTTTCAATTTAGTCAACTATGTCAGTGTGTTTGTGTTTAAACTATTCTGAACTTCTTAAATATCCCACATATTATAATAAAACTAAAACGTAACACTAAAACATTTTAAAACAATGAAAACTAAACTGAAACGAGCAAACCACTCTGGAAATTCCTGAAACAAAACTCAACAAAATTAAAAACAAAATAAAAATAATGAAGCTACTGCAGTAAAGAATTATTTAAAATTCATTTGATCTGATCATGTTTGCTCTGTCACATTAACCTTGTTTTTGTGTTTTGTCTCAAAATAGGGGTGGGTGATAATATATACAGTGACCACACTGTTTATATTATATTATCTAAATTTGTCAACTAATTAATTATATTCTCTAAATTTGTCACATTTCTCCAGTTGTTTTAGGTCATTGTGAGGAATGTTACAAAGCAGGATTGCTTTTTGACAATGTTGTAATTTTATGACTTTTGCTTTAATGTTATAAAGTCTTACACAATTAGACAACTGTAGATATTTCACTAAATGTACTGTTTTATGGTCAAGTTTTCAATATCTATAATCCTGTTATATATTAATATGGCCAAATAAAATAACATATATATCCGAATTGAAGATCTGATCCATATTGCTCAATCCTATCTCTTTAATTCCCATTTATTTTCCTGGGCAGGTTTGGTTCGGTGGCGTGCGGTGTCGGCCAGGAGCTCTATGTGTTCGGTGGGGTTAGAAGCCAAGAGAACGACAATCCCGAGCAAAGACACATGATGACCTGCAAGTCTGAGTTCTACCATGACGAGATGAGGAGGTCAGTATGGAAATACTGCTTTTGTAGGATCTTAAAATCTGTTTTTAAATTGCAGATCCTATGAATGTGTTATTATTATTATTATTATTATTATTATTATTATTACTAGTACTGTTTTTCTGTCCCATTATGAAGTTTTGAGTTTTAAACCAGT